CATTTACTTTTATAAAATAAAGATAATTTTTTTTTTCATTTATTTATCTTTATTTTTTAAGTATAAATGATTCATTTAGTTTTATCCATTATTATAAATGAAAAATAAAACTAAATTAACACCCCTACGAATATGACGTCCTAATATTTTACCACCACGAAGACCAGAAGTTATTAATAATGGAACAGGCGTAAATACTGATGCGGCTCCTAAATTATAACGAAATATAGCGGTCAAGAATACTATTATCCATTTCAAAATAGAATGCGTACGATTGCAGGTTAAATAACTCAGAAACCCAAACAGCTACCGAGATCGGATTTTTATCATCATGCAGCCAATAAATGGCACGTAACTATATAGAAAGCAAAGTTCTCACGTGAGTCTCGGGTGATATTCCGGAGAGATCCTCGAAAAACCACGCCGCCGATCTGGGAACATTTCGTGGATTGTCGATCCAAATCAATCAATGTGGTAGCCCATGGTCTGCTCTACAAAGTCACGAAATCCACAGGTTTTTCCGTTCTTCCATTCGGGTATCGGTCTTCACGGACTTGGACACCCGAAAAGCACGCTTTTTGAGCTCGGACTCGCATAAAGAGATAGATTTTCGGCTATGTTAAACCTCATGGCAATGTTTATTCACTTCTTCAAATTGATCCAAGATCTGCAGACAAAGATTAGCAAAACAGATGGCTCTTGGCCTCACCTGCTTCCCAATAAGGCGACTACAACTCACTCAGTTCTCGATCGATTGCGCTGAAACTTTCAGGAGAGACTTGTAGAGTCAATCGAAGTTCGAAAGTCTAATGGATTTACATGAATTTCTAAAGTTTATTGGACTTTACAAGTCTCTTAAAGTGTTAAAGTCTAAATAGTATATTTAATCGTTATTTGTCTTATGAATGTACGAACCTTTTTCATTAGATGATAATGATGATTTTGTATTTTCGCCAGTTTGTTTTGTTTTTTTCATTAATTTTTCGCGTGCATAACGATCTAGATAAGAAGAGTATTAGAAAAATAACTTTTAATTGATAGTATTATTCAAAATAAAAAGTACTCCTTTGGTAAAGAAGCATAAGAAATTGTTTCTTTCTCGAAGAAAGTTTGAATTTTCAAAGAAACATTTGTAAAATTTTTGGTGAAATCGTCTCTTATCACTCTATAGCGCACTCACAATTTTTTCCGGGGTGGAGAACTTTTGTTATTTTAGTCGAAAATCCTTCTTATAGATTGTTCACAGGTTTTAACCCAAAAATATCTCGACATATTTTTGTGAGTCTTCCTTTCTATCCTTCACGACTTAAACCTTAAAGTAAAACGTGTAATTATGTGATAGATCTATAAACTTTTAAACGCTGAGAAATAATTGCCGTTACTCGATTCAGATCGTGAAATATGTTGTGATTGATGTTCTTCAATACTTGTTATCGGTGCTACATCTTCAGCTAAATAAACAAACAACTGCAAAGCGTAACAGAATATTGAGCATTAGTTTTATTTATTGGCAAATTATCAATAAATTTCTATCTTTAGGCATTTGATCATGAGCCATATTTGTTAATTTATTTTTAAGAAACGTTTCGCAAAAAGATTAGGAACCACAACAGCATGACGCAAATTATTCTTTCCTAAAAAGTATTTGATTCTATCCAACGATGGATAGAATCAAACACTTTTCATAGTTATATCCTACTATGTTTTCCTTTCAAAACATTTTACTCTTAAATTAGAAAATATCTTCTGAAAAGAGCCCCTAAAATTAAAAAATACACTAATTATAGTATTTTGACTATAACTGAACAATGATAAGCTGATTTTTTCAAGTAATATCTCATTCGAGAGACCGGTAAAAGTTGAATAAAACAATACTTTTTATGTTGAAAAGTTTTAATTACGAGTCAGAAAATTAAATGAATTAAAATTTTGAGATTTTGAAAAATGATGAATTTTTCATATATTTGCATGAGATAATATTACAATACATGGACTAAAATATGATCAGTCGGCTTTTATTGTACACATTACAGTATTCCATACCATGTACTTGTGATGCTGGTGCTGTCAATATAGATGATAGCGATATTAAACTATCGTCATCTGTTGTTGTTCTTATTTGTGGTTTGTATGGGTATTGTATCATTTT